GCGAGTGTGAGTGTGTGTGTGTGTGTGTGTGTGTGTGACAGTGGCGCTGTGTTTGCTGGCGCCGCTCACTAAATAAACTGTGACTGCCAATGCAACTCGCTTCATTACCAGACTAACTAATTCATTACCGCTCTTATCAGTGGCGCGCGGCATGAATATACATTCACGGGGGTTCGTTCACCACACGTGACGCGCTCGCCTTCAGCATCAGAATCCACTGCCATTCTCTGTTACAGTTGTTTTCAGCTGCTTGCACACACAATCTTTCCTTGTCACACAGTTTCTGAAAGCTGACACTCAAACAGCAGAAGCACACACCAAATCTACAAAACCATAGACTGATTCTCGGCATTTGACTCGGTTTTCAATTTCATAAAACACTTTTTGCAAAACACAACACACAATTCTCTATGTAACACACAAAAATCTAACAGGAATTGGCGCCGCTCACTAAATAAACTGTGACTGCCAATGCAACTCGCTTCATTACCAGACTAACTAATTCATTACCGCTCTTATCAGTGGCGCGCGGCATGAATATACATTCACGGGGGTTCGTTCACCACACGTGACGCGCTCGCCTTCAGCATCAGAATCCACTGCCATTCTCTGTTACAGTTGTTTTCAGCTGCTTGCACACACAATCTTTCCTTGTCACACAGTTTCTGAAAGCTGACACTCAAACAGCAGAAGCACACACCAAATCTACAAAACCATAGACTGATTCTCGGCATTTGACTCGGTTTTCAATTTCATAAAACACTTTTTGCAAAACACAACACACAATTCTCTATGTAACACACAAAAATCTAACAGGAATTAGAGTTTTGTTTTTTCAGCTGCTTACATTTTCAAAACGTTGCCTCTTTTTTTCAAAAACTTCACACACAAATCCAAGAATTGCACACAAAATGCAGAATGCCTCGCATCTCTTGCAAAACGAAGCACTGCATTGAAAATATCACAAACACATCTCAAAAGCAAACATTTGCAAACACCTTTGCCATAATATTAATTTCCACTTAGATTTTTGTGTTACATAGAGATGTGTGTTGTGTTTTGAAAAATGAAATTGAAAACTGAGTCAAAGATCCAGTATTAGTGAATGGTTTTGCAGAATTGGTGTGTGCTTCTGCTGTTTGAGTGTCAGCTTTCAGAAACTGTGTGACAAGGAAAGATTGTGTGTGCAAGCAGCTGAAAAAAACAGTAATATTATAGCAAAGGTGTTTGCAATTTGTGTTTGTGATATTTTGAATGCAGTGCTTCATTTTGCAAGAGATGCGAGGCATTTTGCATTTTGTGTGCAATTCTTGGATTTGTGTGTAAAGTTTTGGAAAAAAAAGAGGCAAAGTTTTGAAAATGTGTGTAAGCAGCTGAAATAAACTTTAATGGGCTGACACTGCGAGCAGGAATCAGGAACCAAAGCCGTGTTTCTGGAGGACTCTCTGCGCGTCTGACAGCCGGTTCTTGACGAATGACACAAGCGTTGAGCTGATGGTGTTGTGAATGCGGCCGTGAGCTAAGCGTCTCGCTATCGTCTCGATTACAGACAGCATGTGCAGGGCCCCGGGGCCTTTGTGACGCGGCCAGCCAATCAAAACAAGCCCAGCAGCAGCCAATGAAGCACCAACACAAAGACCAACGCCGTCTCTTCCGCTCGAGTCAACTACATCTGTTCACTTTCCCTTAACATGTTAAACACATGTACTTGTGAAGAATCAGACGCTTTAAAATCAACATTATTACACAGCAGATGAGTGCAAAGAGACATGACAATAATCACAGAAATATCTCACTGCAAAAAAAGATTTTCTGACTTAGTACTTTCCAGTAAACACTCTTAAATCAAGATGCATTGACTGGAGAAGCAAAATGTGTTGTTTTAAAATGAAGATCGTTTAAGGTGTCAGAAAAATCAACTCAATTTAAAATAAAAACAAGATTGTTTTTCTGACTCCACTGGCAGATATTTGTTCTTGTCTTAAGCATAAACTCGCTTAATTTTAATACATTTTTTAGAAAACAATACTTAATATTTTAAGCCATTTTGCATCTCCAGGTAATATATCTTCATTTAAGAATGTTTAGATGTTTGTACTGCAAAACAACAAACACACAAAGGAAGAACACTATTGTCTGCAGTGTGACTGCAATATACAGTACATTTGGAGGAAATTATGAGTGGTGTGAGTTTATAAGGATTATGATGATAGTATATCTCACCTCTGATGATGGACAGTTTGGAGGTCACAGCGACTTCACCTTCAGTGTTTCTGGCGACACATTCGTAAACGTTTTCGTCCCGCGGCGCTCTGAGTGGCTGGATACGCAGCACTGCTCCCGCCCCTTCATCAAACTCTACGGTCTGGACCAATGAGAGAGCGGCATGAGCAGACATCCACCAATCACAGCAGATCACAGTTATCAGATCAAAGAGGAAGTTGAATTATGTTCAGATTCAGAGTCTCGCAGCAAGTGAAATAATAACTCATTTATGACCAACACATTTAAATAAATTATATTTCCATGACTTTTATCCGACCGAATAACTGAACTGATCAAATATGGAGACCTTTAAGAGTTTATAAAAGGTAATTCTGCAGTATTTACAGTCTTAATAGGTTCATTTGGGATCACAGAACACACATTAAACACACTCATCCAGTGAGGAATGAAACACACACACACACACACACACACACAGGAAGTGACATCAGCAGCCAGTATGAGCTCTGAATTCATGTTCACTGAATCAAACTGTTCAACATTCAGGTAGAGTTCAGCGGCTGAACTAAACTCATTAATGCTTATTTCACGTGTGATTGACACTGACTTCAGGCAAAGCAGGATTCTTTTCCGCCGCTAACAGAGGCGACACGCTTTAGGAGCTCCATTCCCCGCAGAAACACCGTCTTTCTTCTGCTGCTTAACTGACTGTACAGGAATAAAGGCTTCTGCTCTGCTCATTAGCATCTCATTTGCATAT